CCACACACACACACACACACACACACACACACACACACACACACACACACACACACACACACACACACCGACCGTGACCTCACTGCCCTCTCTCTCTCTTCCCCCTTTCTTTCTTGCATGTGTTTCCTGTTTTAATCGTGGATTGACATTCCTCTCAAAACAAACAGAGTTACCGGCTGAAGAAGGTAATTAGTATTATTACTGACATGGTTGCTGTCATACTGTTACATATTACTATTAACCAACTCCTTTCTCCACAGGGAAGTCTTTGTGGGAACTTGTCCTTGAACAGTTTGAAGATTTACTTGTTCGAATTCTTCTGTTGGAAGCATGTATATCTTTTGTAAGTATGCTTCCTCGACTGTGGATATGAGATGTTCTTGTTTAAAAATACAGGATTTATTGCCATTTTAACAGCAGGCACTTGCAAACTATCGCTTTCTCCTACAGTCACCTAGTAAAACTTGGCAGGTGGGCATCCTACCTGCTTGTGTCAGTCATGTCCATGCTAAACCAGCTGGTTAGTATTTGATTAAGCGCACCAGTGATGTATAAAGTGCCTAATCTAAAAGCAGGAGGACAACGTGTAGCTTTCGTGTACATATATTTCCTATAGCCAGAGAAAGTGTTAACACAAGGTCAGAGTGGCAGTAAGGAACGTGATTAGCCCCGTGTGATGACTGGCAGGGGGGATGGGAGGAGGTGTGTTTGTGTTCACTGCAGGGTACTGAAGTGTAAACATCTTCATTTTGTGTAACTGAGCTCAGGTGACACTTACATTAATAAGCACAGCTGAGAAGGCTATGGACCATCTGTGGAATGGTGACAACAGCAGAATTAGTGTTAAGTTGCTCGCACACAAGACATTTTGAAAGGCCGGCAATGTCTGCTATGTAATATCACCCTCTCATCATAGGCTCTGGACTTAAGACTACGCCTCTTGGTGATTGACCGTTTTTGGGTCATCTATCATCAGCATACGTCCTGAGCAGGGAGGTACCTGATTGAAGAAGTCACACAGCAGCATTGGCAGCATGGCCACCAACAAAGCTATTGAGAAGCTTGTCTTGCGTCTCATCTCTGATTGAAAGCTGTTGTTTGACCTCCACTTACTTTACAGAGGAACAAAGCTCAATTTGCTTGTTGATCTTTTCTACTACCTGCTTTCAAAGTTCGTGTTATTACGTGGTTTGAGCACAATCAATGTGGACTTGCAACATATTAGCTTACAACTTGAGAAAACGTACTCTTCAGAATCGTCCTGAATTTAAAACTGATGGCCCCTCCTGTTTAGCAGGTTTGGATGGCCACACCACATCTGAGTGGGATCCCTATTATTGCCCAACTATTCATAAACATGGCACGAAGAAAACAACAACAACAAAGAAGTTCCCGTCGCCCAGATTGACGCCACAAGGGCCCCACCCTGGAGCCAGCCCTGAGGTTGGGGTTCGCAGGCGAGAGCCTGGTAGCTGGGTCTTTGCTCACATGACCCGGCCAGGCTCAGCCTGAACAAGCGATGTGGACCGCTTCCCTGCGCCTTTGGGTCAGGGATAGATGTCTCACTGTTGTTTCGGCCTACAGGCCGAATGGCAGTGTAGAATACCCGGCCTTCTTGCAGGCACTGGGAGGGGTACTGGAAAGTGCTCCTCCCGGGGACACTTGGTGGACTTCAACGCTCACGTGGGCAGCGACAGTGACACCTGGAGGGGTGTGATCGGGAGGAATGGCCTCCCTGATCTGAATCCGATTGGTGTTTTGTTATTGGACTTCTGTGCTAATCATGGTTTGTACATAACAAACACCCTGTATAAGCATAAGGATGTCCATCAGTGCTCTTGGCACCAGGACACCCTAGGCCGGAGGTCAGTGATCGACTTTGTCTGGCCGTATGTATTGGACACTCGGGTGAAGAGAGGGGCTGAGCTGTCAACTGATCACCACCTGGTGGTGAGTTGGCTCCGCTTAGGGGGGACGAAGCTGGACAGACCTGGCAGAGCCAAACGTATCATAAGGGTCTGTTGGGAACATCTAGCGGAATCCCTGGTGAGGGGGCCTTCAACTCCCACCTTCGGGAGAACTTTGACCAGGTCCTGAGGGAGGCTGGAGACATTGAGTCTGAGTGGACTATGTTCTCCATTGTTGACGCGGCTGTCTGAAGCTGTGGCCGTAAGGTCTCCGGTGCCTGTCGTGGCGGCAATCCCAGAACCCGGTGGTGGACACTGGAGGTAAGGTATGCCGTGAAGCTGAAGAAGGAGTCCTATCCGACCCAGTACACGCTGGAGCGAAGGTTGGCCTGGGAGCAACTTGGGGTCCCCCCCAGAAGAGCTGGAGGAAGTGTCTGGGGAGAGGGAAGTCTGGGTGTTCCTGCCCAGACTTCTTGTTGCCCCCGCGACCCGGCCCTGGATAAGTGGACGATGATGGATGGATGGATATTCATAAACATTTAATCAAAGGGGCTATAATTTAATGGTTTGGTTCTGCAAACTGCGTTTTTAATTCTAATTTTGGGGATCTGAATGGTGCCATAAAATGCTGCCAGTATGTAATTACATTGTCAAAACGCTGATGGTTGCGGCAGGACAGGGCAGTGAGATTGACTTCTAGATATTCTTATAATTTTATTTTTACCCTACCTCAGTTAAGCGTTATTTTCTCTGTGTTTGCTCTCTTTTTTTAATCATCTCAGTCTGCATTTGTCAGTGAAGTGTTGTTGCACGTGAGCTACTTGTGAGAGCGACAGACTTGGTACATATCGTGCAGTCCCGGGTCAGGTGATACTGAGGTGTCAGTGGCTGCTTTATGGCAGGGGCACAGAGCACCACTCGAGACCAAATTTGGGCTCTGGTCCATCAACAAGACGTCTCATCAGTCAAACATGCACACCCACTTCTACGTGCATTCATTGACTCTCATGCTCCTTAGCCCCGTATTTTGGACTGGAGTCAAAGGCGGTTCCTTTTTGCCCAAATTCTTTTGAAACCAGTCTTGATGATTAATAGTTTTACGACACAATAATGACACATTAACTAATTGGATTTTCTTTAAACTATTTAATTTTAGATCGAAAGAGAGTACAATTCAGAATGTCTTAAAGTAAGTGAGAGTGAGTAGTAATAATTAGAGCACTAAAATACCTATTTTATGATGTCAGCCTAGAGAAGGCAAAACATTTGGTCAGGCCTTTGAACAGGACAAAATGAACATTAAAGTCTCTTGAAATCACCACTTTAAATAACACAAGACATCATATCCCAGGGCTGGTTATGCCTTTGTGTAACAATTTAAAATGCTTCTACTGCCACATCCCAAGGTAATGGCTGCAGTTCATGCTAAATATATGACCACATGATCTTCCCTGGATTGCTCTTTATATCTGCAGTGGGTGTTTATTTATTTATTTATCAATTTAAATGTCTTAAATTAGGTTAAAACTGTTAACATTTTACAAACTACATATATATGTAACTGCATGGTGTTAGGTGTATTTATAACAGAATTAATGTTGATAATTGTGGTCATTTAATGCACAGTAGTTATGGACATACAGTTGTATGTTTGGGTTTTTTTCCACATATAAAAATTGATGTAGGATGTGTGGGAAGATCTTTGACTCCTAATCTCTGGCTCTAATCTGGCTTTAGCTGCTAACATACAGTTAAATGTCAACATTGCTGGAATGAACTACTCCTGCTTTCATTAAAAGGCTTATGTAAGAGATTAAACCCACAGAACTCATTTAAATGCATAGTAAGGGACTTTTTTTGAAAGCCTTCCATCTGTTACTATTTTAACCATCCTCACAGTGAGCCGATGCCTGCTGTTTCAGTAAAATGTCTCTCACAAGATGATGCTGACAACAGTGTTCCCTCTTTTTTTCAGGTCCTGGCCTGGTTTGAAGAGGGTGAAGAAACAATCACAGCGTTTGTGGAACCTTTTGTAATCTTACTCATTCTTATAGCCAATGCCATCGTCGGTGTGTGGCAGGTGAGGGGAAAAAAAAACCCTTTGTACTTTAATCTTACTGCCCTCTCAAAAATGAGAAAATACTGGAAATGTTTTACATTAAAATAACACACATTTTTATTCTTGAATGTTTAAATGTTTTAATTAATTAATTAATTATTTTATTTTATGATATTTGTCTCAGTTACGGCATTGTTATGACAACCAGGCACAACAGCTGTTTAGAGATTTGACCATTACTATGGCATTGACATCCATCCACAGTCAGAGGTTGACATACTGGAACACTTGGCTAATTTAGATTGTTTGTTTATCTTGAGATTATTTTTTGTCATCAATAAGCACATTCTAGCCTTTTTGTAATGTTTTGGTTTTTGTGCGTTCTTATTCAGCCCCATCACAGCCTCTCTGGGTTACTGTGGCCCTCCTTTTGACAAACCAGGATTCTTCGTACTACTCTGAGCAGTTTGGCCCTACCTTTGTTCAGCATGTAGATGACATTCACAAAACATTCAAGATCAATCAGCCACAACAAAGATGACTAAAAACATTTCAGATGATAAAAATGATTGGCCGTGCGCTTTCATCACAATTTGACTGCTTTGTTAAAATGTGCTTTGCAAGGAAAAAGCTATTTATTCACTTGCCATTTGTGATTTATATTTCATCTCTGAAAAACTGCTGTTGACAGGTCAAATAAGTGCAGTAATATGGTCACAGATCATATTTAGCACGAGCTCGAATTGAAACCTCCCCCGAATCTCTAAGTGTCACTGCAGGGGAGACACGCCCCGCAATAATACATTATTTTGAGATGTGCTTATTAACCCAGTGTCACAATAGGATGAGGGTGAATGCTTTCAAGGCCTGGATTATCATGTGGTGTCTCTGTGCATCTGCTACCACAAAGTCATGAGGTGCTACTGTATTTTTGCTGTACAATCTAATACAACAGCTTTATGCAGTATAAAGTGAGCAGTGGGGTGATTCATGCTGCTGAGGTCCAGTCAGCGATTTTACCAGCTGACTTAAAACTAAAACTTTGATTCCCTGCAAGGCACCATGTGTGTGTTTCTGGAATGGAGACATGAGCAAAGTTGCGTCGAGGATTGATGTTGTCCTTCGAATGCTAATGTTATCACTATGCTTTGTTTCTGTAAGCCAATGAAAGGATGCATAGTTTTTCTGTGCGTAGTGGTCGGGTATATATTTAACTGTCATTGGCCATTCAGATCATGGAATGCAGTATTTTTAGAGGCAGTTACAGTCGCGAAGATGACAGGTGTCTGGTCCCAACCCACATGAGCCCTTCCCATCCTGCTCAGGGAAACATTACTGCAGTGGCTGATGTGGGGGTGGAAACAGAGGTGGATCCTTCCACCTTCAATTTTCTTGTAATGTGCTGGGATTTTGGTTAAGAGTTCTAATTTTAATGTGTTTTGGTCAAATAAATACTCATTTGTCAACTTGTCACTGCAGCCCAAGATCCAAGCATCCATCCATCCATCCATTTTCATCCGCTTATCCGTTACCGGGTCATGGGGGCAGCAGTCTCTAGGACCGCCACCCAAATCACACTGGATCGTACCAACCCCCCGAACCTTCCTGCAGGTGGTGAGTCCACTGGAAGGTACCAACCGCCCTAACCGGGATTCGATTTTGCCCAGTAGGTGAACCCTGGGGTTCCACACCAATGACAGAGACATTGCCTCTGGGCCAAAGCACCACAAGATCCAAGCAAATCATTCAAAACATCTTAATTATTTGACTAGATATTTAGCCTTCTTTAGATAATTTCTTTATTAGTGTGCAGTATTTTACTTGCCTTTACATACAACATTGCAATCTGTATCTATTAAACCTGATTTAAAAATCCAAAACCAGTGTGTGTGCATGATAGCAACATCACACCTTTGTAAAAGGCCCCATACAAAATTAAATTAAATGCCAGTTACTTTGCATGTAGTTTACATTTTCTTGAAGTAAAATAACACACAGTGCTGGTATATAAGAGAAAATTGATATTTGTCCAGCTTGTTTTGACATATAATGATCAACTTATCCCAGAAGTAGTGCCCTTATAGTACGAAGACAATTATATTGATCTGTGAGAAATTTTGTTTAGAAATGTACTGCAGGAACAATGATCAGTTGTTTCACAAGAGTCCTCTCCCTGAAACCTTGATCTGCAGCAAAATGCAATGCTTTTCTCCTCTGTGTCAGCATGGCTATCATCCTTTTGTTTAAAAAAAAATTCTGAAGCTTCAGTGTGACCCCTGCCACGCAGAAGAGGAATGTGGGATGAGGCAGGCTAGGCAGCGACAATGCTCCAGGTAGAGCACAGATGACAATCTCTCAGTGGTGAGAGGGGATTGTCTGCAGCCAATTTGTGCTGCTCTCTGTCAGGGGGCTGCTGGACCTTTGAAACTGCCTCCTACTCATGCCTCATCCTTTATCTACCCTGCAGCTGAATGCTAACTGATAGCTGTTTCATTTCATGGAGAAAAACACTGTCAAAACTGTCACTAACTGTCAGATGTTTTATCCAAAAGTACATCACTGTTTTTACTGATCAAGTTTATTCTGGACTGCTGGTGTCTTTTTTGTGCTCTTCTTTGGTAACAAACTTATGAGGATGTTGTTAAACATCTTTGGAAACTTTGATATATTTTTTGCATCTTTCAAATTTAAAAAATAAAAGTAATGCAAATCAAAACGGACTAATGGTTTAGTTTAAAAGAATCCTTTTCTCAGCTTGTGAGATTTCTTACAGTACAGTACAGTAGGTTGGTGCTTATTTTAAGAGCCAGCTGTGAAAACGTGATAGAGTTACATCACTGCACTTAATAAAACCCCTAAATAATTTGTTGGGCTGATAAGGTGTGCAGTGTGCAAGTTGTATTATCGTTGTGTTTAAAGCACTCACTGTCCTCAGCTAGGTTAATGTTGGGTCTGCAGAACTGTCGGAGCAATGCAGTCTTA